AGGCGGGGCCGCGCGGGAGGAAGGCGGGGTCTTGGCGAGAGAGAGGCGGGCCGCGCAGGAGAAAGGCGGGAGCTTGGCGGAGAAAGAGGCGGGCCCCGTGGGAGGAAGGCAGGCCTTGGCGGGGAAGAGCAGGAGGAAGGCGGGGCCTTGGGGTGAGAGGCGGGGCCTCTGCGGGGTGAGAGGCGGGGCCGCGCGGGAGGGAGGCAGGGCCACGCTGGTGTCATTGTGAGGGGCACAAATGGCGGTCAGTGTGAGTGGCTGCCGACCTGAGGGCTGAAGGGGGAGACAGGAGATGGGATGGGAGAGGATTCTGGAAAATATCTGATTGGAATTTATCAATGGAGCCCCGTTTTTATAGATGAGGCGATTCAGACTCCAAGTGGTCAGGTGGTTGACTCAAGCCTTCTCAGCTAATACAATAGCAGAATTCGGTTGGACAGAATACCAGGTTTTTTATCTCAATTTTTAATTCCCTTCAGCTGCCACTTAAGATCTCTGGTATTGATCATCTTGACCAATATGCATAAGAAAGGACAGTAAAGATTATTTAAGCTGAAACAATTTAAAAGGGAAGCATCGACACACTTAAAAATAATGAAAAGCCTTACCACCACCATGGATGAAATCGTGCTGATCTATCCATCCATCACTCTTTAATCTTAACTTTCTGGCCTCTAATCCTACCTTTCCAAGATCGGTTTAGGTTAAGAAAGCAGTTAAAGGATAGTATTTAACCAGTAGGTTTTGGTTGATCTGACTAGCTGTATTACATTGTATTACAAGATGGAAGATCTGCACAACTATTCCAAACACTTTGATAAGGTATCAAAATAATACCATAATTGTTATTAAAAATGCATTAATACGCCAATATATTTCACTCTAATGTGGAAAGTTTACATGCATCAGTTAGGTGTGGGTTATATTTACCAATCATGTATGGTTAGCTATGTTACTAATATCTATTGCACAGGGTTGGGGTACCCAAGTGGTTTAGGAAGGTTATCCTTCCCTTCCCCAATATGCTGCCCCCGGTAAAATAAAAGAAACCAACGCTAAGCTTCATCAGGTTACTTCACACACCACTGACCAACCAACTCACTACTCAGAATTCATACACTTTCCTTTTTTCCAGAGGAAGATTCTACACAGTCTCAAAGTTAGTTGGTAAATTGGTAATGGATAAGGATTGAGAAGTCTGAGTTTGGGGGAATATGAAACCTTTCCCCTCCTGAGAACAGAATTGAGATGGTGGGCAGTGGGGATGCGGGGGGCGGGGGGCAAAAACGGACAAGGAAAGTTTTCCTCCAACTTAATTTGGAGTATTTTCTCCCTCCAACTTAATTTGGTTTTGGATACAGCCTCTAGGAATCACTCACTTCTTTTACCTTCTGAAGAAAGAGGGATTTTTGCCTCTAACATTGTATAAAGGTAACTATGCTGGATATAAATTTCAGTCTAAAGGAACATCTTGACCAGGCATGGTGGCTCCTGCCTGTAATCCTAGCACTTTGGGAATTTGAGGCGGGAGGATCCCTTCAGCCCAAGAGTTCAAGACCAGCCTGGGAAACATAGCGAGAACTTGCCTCTACAAAAAAAAAAAGAACTAGCCAGGCGTGGTGGTTGCCTCTACAAAAAAAACAAAAAACAAAAAAACAAAAAACCAAAAAGAAAACTAGCCAGGCATGGTGGTGTGGGCCTGTAGTCCTACCTACTCAGGAGGCTGAGGTAGGAATACTTGAGCCCAGGAGTTACAGCCTGCAGTGAGTTATGACCACACTACCGCACTACAGCCCTGGGTGACAGAGCAAGACCCTGCTGCTAATAAAGGAACATCTTTTATTAAATAGGTACCCTTTAAATGACCACAGACTTAGAGATGTTCCATTCCAGAAGAATTCTCAAATAAGATATCCATATAATTGTGAAAGGGAATTGGAGATGTAAGGATACCTCTATATGGAAACTGTTAACTGAAAATTGTGAAATCGGAAATTACACCAAAACTGCACAATGCACACATCAAAAGTACAAGTTTGTATCTCTACTCACACTTCCAACTTGTTGATGTACTTTATAACCTATAATTAACTTGTTCCTGAGATGTGGATGTTTAAAAACAAATTCTGAATACGGCTGTCTTATTTTTATCCAAGACTATATTCAACTGCCTAAATAAAATAATGGCCACTTTGTTTTTTTTTCCATTTAACCAGATTTGGCCCTAGTCACATACAAGTATTTCAAGTGAACCTCTGACCTGAATTACCTGCATAATTTAGATGACTTTTAAGATTTCAAGTTTCCTAATTTAGACTATTTCAAGATAAGTAGCCAATTAAACACTCAGGAAGGCCGTTCCTTAACAAAAACTTTAAGGGAAAAAAACCATGAATATTGATCATTCTGCCTAAAGACTTAAAATAATAAAGACATAAAATTAAAATATAAGTGAACTAGGAAAGATATCTACAATAAACTTACTATATAAAAGTGCTTACAAAATCAGTAAAAGACAGTCCTACTACAGAAAAACATTAGTCCAGTCAAAAAGGATAAACCAGTAACTAATAAAAAAAAAAAAAAGTGCTTTTTTTTTTTTAACCTATTAAATTGACAGATTCTTTCATGCATAGTGAAACTGGTAAGGGGACAAGGAAATGAACCCCCTAACCTCTAGTGAGGTTATGGTGGTGGAGGGAGCAAGCAAAAAGCTTAGAGTTCATAATCTTTAACCTAAGTTGCACTTCTAGGAAACCAAAAGTGTTGTGTAAAAAGACATATGTAACATATATAGATTCACTACAAGCATTGATACCAGCAAGAAAAAAAAACAGGAAAAACTGTAAATACTGATTACATAGCTATGGTACACAGAATACTATGCAGTTAGCAAGTCAACACGTAGAACACACACATAGAAAAACAGTGTGCAGTCAAAAAAGCAGGTGATGAAACAGCATGTGTAATTTCATTAGATATATGTGTTATATATTATTGTATTTCTATCTGTCTATGTCAGCAGCCACCTACCTCCATGGTCACTGGTACTCAGAATCTTTTCTTTCCCTGTTACTAATTTACCCATATTAAGCCCAGTGCCCCCTTACACAATAAGCAGTTTCTCTTTCATGTGAGAAAAAATTCAAATGTTCTGGTATCCCCTCTAACAACTGTCCTATTTTTTTCTTCTTTTACTATTAGTTTTCTAAATAAGTAATCTACACACACTGCTTCTAAAATAAATATGTAATTTGGCCGGGCTCAGTGGCTCATGCCTGATGCCTGTAATCCCAGCACTTTGGGGGCTGAAGCGGGCAGATCACCTGAGGTCCGGAGTTCGAGACCAGCCTGACCAACATGGAGAAACCCCATCTCTACTAAAAATAACAAATTAGCCAGGCGTGGTGGCACATGCCTGTAATCCCAGCTACTTGCGAGGCTGAGGCAGGAGAATCGCTTGAACCACCGAGGTGGAGGTCGCGGTGAGCCAAGATCGCGCCATTGCACTCTAGCCTGGGCAACAAAAGCAAAACTCCACCTCAGAAATAAAATACAATAAAATAAAAAATTCACAAAGTGCTTTCGACACAGCCATTAACGCATTTGATTCTCAAAATCTAAACATTTTAATGTCCTCTTTTCTGAAGTGACAGATCAGAGGTTGGTTCTTCCATGGCTTCATTAGCTGGTGACTCAGAGTAAAGTAAACTTCAGTGAGATGCTTTCCTTTCTACCAGTCTACTCCTACTTTACCATCCACAATCGATGCTCTTGAAGTGTTGAATGCTTTTACAAATAATAGGACCTAATAAATGTCTGAATTTCAGCTTTGCTAAACCAAAAATTCCAACCCAAGAGAACAGGCTACATTAAGTGTGCTACATTTTTAGCAATACAAACTTCAAAAAGAAATCAGAAATTAACTTATGAATTCTGGTGATATTTTATTTAGGAAAAGATAATCACTGATTTTAAGATCTTAATTTTTCTTCTAAATGCTACACTAATTAGACATAAGATAGTATCAGATAATAAAAGTATTTACACATTGAATACAAAATAAATATAAAGTAACTGAAAAACAAATCAGGTTTCCATTGACTTATTTTTTTTTCCCACTGTCCATCCTCTGTTTCATTTTTCTTTGCCTTTTGTAAATCCGTTTCTTTCTTGCTTTCAAATCAACTTTTGGCTCTGGTTTTACCCACTGTATTTCTATTGGTTTCTCCTCAGCTGGCGTTACAAAAACATCTGCAGTGGGATCATGTGGAAGAAGAGTCTTCGGCTCTTTCTTTCTCAGTTTTTGCACATCTTTCACTTGCTGTTTCTCTCTGTATTTTGCAGCTGTGATGGATCTTATGACACGCCGATGCTAAAATTAAAAAAAAAAAAAAGGTTAGACGCTTTTGAAATAAAAATAAACATTTTATATAAGGCAAAAACTTTCAGTTATGAACTTTATATCCCTTCAGCCAGTGTCATGAAAAAAAGGAGTAATTTCCAAGTCTCTATGCAGCAAAAACCAAATTCAGTTTCACAGGTAATAAAACAGCAATTACTTCACAGAATCATTTTGGCCAAAGGGTTCCGGTACATTGAAGACTACTGAACAAAACAACAGCTTACCATGTTTGGTGACTGGTAGTGAGGATTTTCATATAAAGTTGGTCCTCCAAAACTTCCCTGGAAAATCTTTATGAGATTTAAGACAAAACGAGGTCCTATTTCTACAAGAGCAGCATCTTCTTCTATGATCTTTAATAAAAAGGAAACATTTCGTTTTGGTTTGGTTACATTATTCCAAAAAGGTATACTGACTATAACCTCATTATAAATGTGCCTGAAATAATTGATAATCCATAAAATCAAGGTGGGGGTGAAACTTGGTAAATGCCAAATCATCAGTATTTTCTGAAATCTATTAGTACTTATAGGAAGTCATCATGGAAAAATGTTTTTTCAGTGTGTACTTTTCAAATTGAGTAATTCGATTTTGGTTTACATCTTGCTTCTCACAATGCATATATCCTTGAAAAACTGTGGTTAAACAGGATTTTAAAATAGTAACCACTATTAACAAAATGTATTAAAGCATATTATGGGGGAACTCTTGAAATGTAAACCAATCCCTAAATTGTTTATAAATCTAATTCAAGATAGATTAAAAGGATATGTAGCCAAATTTATTTCACAGCTACTGATTATGGAATTAAAAGGTGACTTCTGAACAACAAATACTTATGTTATCTATTAGTTCAGGCATGTCTGCCCTCAGAGGTTAGGAGGATGTGTTCAACTCACATGCCAGGTATCCAATATAAAATATGCAGAAAAGAGCTCAGTTTATGTCATGTGCTGTCTAAAATTTTGTTCTTGTTCTCTTCCACCTCTTCACCTTTCTGCACTTATCCTGCCAAACTCCTGCTTCAAGATTTCTAGAATCACCTCCTCTTTTCTCCTGAATGAGTCACTGTATGACTCATCATCTAACAGTTGCCACTGAATGCCTTCTATAGCAATTACATTTTGCTAGGTCTTAACCCTTGAGGTGGTTTTAAAGCTTTTAGAGAGAAACTTATATTTTACTGTATCCTTTACAGCACTTTCCACAAATTAGGAACCCAAGTATCTCATGGATTTTCAAGCTATTCCTTTTCTATAAAGTGAAATATATAATGGCTTATTAGGAAATCCATACTCTGTATCAACTAACAGTCATGAATAGAAGTAGGTAGAGATCACTTAAAGTATAAGACAGTACATAGTTACTTGCAGCAATCTCTTTAGGGAAAAGGAAGCTATTTAAAACAAAAGGATTGTTTGCATTTTTTGTGTATGCAGACCCTGTATATCCTTATCTAAAAGTTTAATGAAAAATTGATCATGTACAGTGGCTCACACCTGTAATCCCACCTACTCAAGATGCTGAGGAGGGATGATCATTTGAGGCCAGGAGGTTCAAGATCAACCTAGGCAACACTGCGACACTCTACCTCTAATAAAAAAAAAAATTAGGCCAGGCGCAGTGGCTCACGCCTGGAATCCCAGACTTTGGGAGGCCAAGGTGGGAGGATCACCTGAGGTTAGGAGTTTGAGACCAGCCTGGTCAACATGGTAAAACCCCATCTCTACTAAAACTAAAAAAATTAGCCAGGCGTGATTACGGGTGCCTGTAATCCCAGTTACTCAGGAAGCTGAGGCAAGAGAAGCTTGAACCCGGGAGATGGGGGTTGCAGTGAGCCGAGATTGTGCCACTGCACTCCAGCCTGGGCAACAAGAGCGAGACTCTGTCTCAAAAAATAAATAAATAAATAAGTAAATAAATAAATTTAATTCCGTTAAAAAGAAGGTATAATTTAAAAAATCAAGTAAAGCTTACCTGAAAGTTCCGAAACCATATCCTATTATCCAAAATGGTGAAAGTAAACACATGGTCCACGAATGGTTGGCTTTTGGGATGATACCGTGGTGTACTAAAGATCTAGTTTAAAAAGTGTATGTTAGTTCCTTATTCCAAGACATATCATGTATATTTTGGATAGCTAAAAGATATTTACCTGAATTAAGAGTTCTTTTAACAAAGCATAATGTGGTAATTCATCAAAAGCCTATAAAAATAAAGGAAGCATATTATTTAACAGTAGATTGCCTTGTTTAAAACTGTTTGCTCATTTGTTTCTATAACCTCATTATAAATGTGCCTGAAAGAATTGATAATCCATAAAATCAAGGTGAGGGTGAAACTAAATTGAATTACACAACTATATCTACTAAAAACAACCACGCCAGATAAGAAAATTAGACCTCATACACTGAATGAGAAACTTACAGGGTCAAAAGACAAAAGGGGCCGAGAACCTTTCAAACAGTTTCCAGTCATCTTTAGTTCAGCAAGGGTATGAACTAGAAAAATTGCAAAGAAAACAAAAATAGTTACAACTTTTGCACAACTATTTCAAAAGATTATTTTTAATTTCCTCATCTAAAAAATTTTATTGAGTCAACTTACTATTTTGAACAAGGAATTTAGCAGACGGTCCATGAGGTGAATTTGAAAGCCTGAAAGATATAGAGGAAGCTTTTTCAACTGATCAGCGAATGTAGTCAATGCTTACCACCTATTCACCATAAATAATATGCTTATATTCATATATTTAATTTTCTTTAAAGGTATCAAGTTTTGTGAAATCAAAAAAGTTTTATTCATTCTCAACCTCTTAACATGAAAGACTAGGAGTCTATAACATAAAAGGTACAAAGAACAAATCCACTTAAATAAAGGAGTTTAACCAATATCTTAATACATTCTCTTACCACATATAGAGATCTTGTTTTTTCTTAGCTTCAAAATAGATGCATTTATTACAGTTCTTCATTTCACAAACCTAAAGGAAGCAAAGTATAGGAAAATGAAGTAGATAATATAAGTGAGAACTAAAGTAATTATATGTGATTAATATCATTTAGATTATCTCAAAAATACCTAACCAGGCTAATAGGCTACAAAGACCAAAACATTTATTTATTCACAGAAGGAACCTTTAAGTTCCTTCTAGGTATTCTACACAAGGTAAACTAGATGCTCTGCCCGTATCTTGGATGAAATTATCTATCATATTTTTGGGCCTAGCATCTAAAATGGTCTCACTTCTGATTACTGGAAACCTCCCCCCTCCTTTTTCTTTTTTTTTTTTTGAGATGGAGTTTCGCTCTTGTTGCCCAGGCTGGAGTGCAATGGCACGATCTTGGCTTACCGCAACCTCCACCTCTCAGGTTCAAATGATTCTCCTGCTTCAGCCTCCAGAGTAGCTGGGATTACAGGCATGCGCCATCACGCCCCGCTAATTTTGTATTTTTAGTAGAGATGGGGTTTCTCCATGTTGGTCAGGCTGGTCTTGAACTCCTGACCTTGGGTGATCTGCCTGCCCTGGCCTCCCAAAGTGCTGGGATTACAGGCGTGAGCCACAACGCCTGGCCAGGAACCTCTTCTGCCGATAGTCCCATGTACAAACTACAAAGACTAAAAATAGATAAAGAATACCACAACTAATCTTATGTTGATCCTTCATAATCAATCTTCTTAGCCAATCTTATGAAAATCCAGTCCTTACAGAACTAAAAACATCCTTTTTAATGATTATTTTGGTTTTTAACTTTTTAGCTTTTTGATATTAAGATTACAAAACTTAAGCTGTTCTTCATTTATACTATCATTTCTGGTGATTTGGTTCTATAAAGTCATTAAGGGATTGGGTAAAAAGCCTAAGTATATAAAACCTATTTCAAATTAAACTTCAATTAAGGCTTACAAAAGTCACACTTGAGAAGATATAAAAACATTACAGGAGTGAAGTCTTGTATTACTGTAGTATTCATAAACCCTAACTAATATAGTACTCATAAACTCCAAACTATTTAAGACTTTAAACCTAACAACTTATGGGTGGATGAGGTTCATGCCTGTAACCCCAGCACTTTGGGAGGCCGAGGTGGGTGAATTGCCTGAGCAACCCGGCAAAGCCCCATCTCTACTAAAAATACAAAAATATTAGCTGGGCATAGTGGCGTGTGCCTGTAGTCCCAGCTACTTGGGAGGCTGACGCGGGAGAATTGCTTAAACCCAGGAAGCAGAGGCTGCAGTGAGTTGAGATCATGCCACTTCACTCCAGCCTGGGTAAGAGTGAGACTTTGTCTCCAAAACCAGTTAAACAAATAAACAAACCCTGACAACTTAAAAAAAAAAAAAAACTTAGGTCCAATGCTTTTGTTTCTTATTGGTCTTAGAATAAACACAAAAATGGGAAGCTTGTGCCACTTCTGGGCCTTTGTAGTTGCCATTTTCTCTTCCTAGATGGTCTTTTACCATATTTCTCCTTCATTAAATCTCTGCTAAAATATTAAGTTAAACATCATCCCTTTGAACAGGTTTTTCCGGTCTAGTCTCAGCTGCTGAAAACCTATAACCTGCTTCATTTCTCCTGTCTTTACTTGAAATTATAAACCTTGTTTATGGCCTGTCTCCATTAGAATGTAAGTTCCATAATGAAAGGGACATTGCTCTGTTAAACAGTTTCTGCAACACATAGAATGATGTGGTATTATAACAGAGGTTCAAAAATTTGTGCTCTCAAGAAGGCTAATAGTAAAAAAATGATCCTAATTCTTCTAAGTTTTGAAAATTTTGCTTTAAAATGTAAATTCATGTTCTGTGCTTCCAGAGGTTAAAAAAATATACATAAGTGTAGTATACACTTTGAAAATGTAACCTATTCCTAGTTTGTAATACCTTAAGAGCAGTTCCACACAAATCACTTTTAATACTGGCAAAACACTTTTTATCATGTGGGGTTTCTACATATATAGATATGTTTAATGGACTTCTTATTTTACTTTATATATGCTGACTGATCATTTTTTGAGTACCTACTATGGATTTAGCATAATACTAGACACTACAGGGTTAAAAAATGAGACATAATCCTTCTCCTGAGATTTCAATATGCTTGTTCAGACAAAACAAACAGACATGACTGAAGCACTAAACTGTAGGAGAAAAATCTGGAAGAGCAGTTATTGAAGAGTTAATAAAACGTGTCTGAAGTTTTTACAAAACAATTTTTAAAGTCACTGAATGACTTATTTTTGAAATGAGCCACTGTTAATGTTTTTAAAATATTTTATTGCAATTACTTTCTAAAATTACCTCGTTAATCACAAATAGCTTATCCTTACGATCCATTTTAGTATCTAGAAAAAGAAAAAAAAGACAAAGCAAGTAAATTAAAGGTGATTTCAAAGTTATTTCAATCAAACCACATATGCTATCTAAAAAATAAGTGTTTTTACACTCTTCAGTTTAAAGGAGATTTTATTATTAATTTTCAAAACAAGACCTGAAAACAATCGCTTAAAAAATCTTGACTCTTTGTAAATGTAAAGAAAATAAAATAGAGTCTGTAAGAATTAGAAATTATAGTGTAAGCAGTGTTTCTCAGTATTTAGGTAGTTTAGGAATCCTTTTCAAAAATGGGAAAATTCTCACAAACCAAAGACTATGTTAAAGGAAACCAGTTTCAATGAAGATATCTTTCACTTGTTAATCACAGATGTCAAAGAAAACTGACTTTATGCCTGTGTAACAAATCTGCACATATACTCCTTAAATCTAAAAAAAAGTTAAAATTTTTAAAATAAAAAAAACCAAAAAAAACCCCCAAAACACCTCTCAACATAAGCACAAATATGATGCGTTGCCACTCCACTGTTCTAAACAATTTTTTTTTTTTTTTTTTTGAGACAGGGTCTTGCTCCTTGCCCAGGCTGAAGTGTAGTGGCACAATCATGGCTCATGGCAGCCTTGACCTCCTGGGCTCAAGCCATCCTCCTGCTTGAGACTCCTGTGTAGCTGGGACTGCAGGCAAGTGGTCCCACACCTGGCTAATTTACTTTACTTTTTTCGACTCCAACTTAAAAGGTGCTTCAAATTCTATCCCAGGGACATTTTTCAATAAAAACAGTTAAAAAAAAAAAAAAAAAGCCCAAAAAGCAACACATGGCAGTCCTTAGCACTTAGGACAAACCATCCCACCTATCTCAGGACCTTTAGAAACATTACAGTGAAGGCATTCCTGGACTTTCAAGAAATGTTTCAATAATATTAGGACATCTGTTTTAAAAAGTAAAGAAACTACCTAATGAAGTCTAAAGAATTTCTTACAAAATGTTAACTAGAAAAATTGTGACACTTGAAAAGATAAAAGGTATTGTGTTTTTTTCGTGAAAACACTGAACAAATGAAGAATATATAAAATAAGTGAAAACATAAAAATAGCTAAGTTTATAGACAGAAATTTCTAAAGTATATGATACAAAGGCACCTGCTTTAGAATGAGGCATCAACATTCTCAAGTCCTGCATTAAATGTCTTGTCCTAAAATTTATTCCTCTGGAAGAAAAGATGAGAATCCGTTCCTTATTTTTCCACTTGCCCTAAAGAAAAAGAAAATGTTAAAAAGATTTTAAAATCTCATACTGAACTGACCTTGTTTTGTGACAGGGTCTCACACTGTTGTCCAGACTGAAGTGCAGTGATGCATGCTCACAGCTCACTGCAGTTTCAAGTTCCTGGGCTCAAGTGATCCTCCCACCTCAGCATCTGCAGTAGCTGGATACTACAGACATGTGCCACCATGCCCAGTTAGTATTTTTTTTTTTTTGTAGAGACAGGAGTCTCCCTATGTTGCCCAGGCTGGTCTCCAACATCTGGGCTCAAGCGGCTTGGCCTCCCAAAGTGCTGGGATTATAGGTGAGAACCACTGCACCTGGCCCTGTTTGTTTTTTAAGAGCTTCCAGGTAGCAAGTCAAACCATCCTGACTCCTTTAATTTCATCTCTCACCAACATTCACTGACCACATCTGCCACCCAGAAATGCCCTCCTTGGTTTCTTGTTTTTCATCTTCAATCTCTCCAATTCCTCCTCCCAACCCTGAAAGTTCTTTCTTAGCCCTCTTTTATTTCTGTGCTCTCCATGCAGAGGTCTCATAATAATTTCTCACAATTCTTAATCCTTTCTTATTCACACTGCACTTAGAGTCTTATATTAACTGCAAAACTCCTAAATGGCTAACTTTCTCAGACATGAAGAACACCTCCAACGGATATGGTTGACTAGCTCTTTCAAGTTTACTTTTTTTTTTTTTTGAGATGGAGTCTCACTCTGTCACCCAGGCTGGAGGGCAGTGGCGCAATCTCCACCTCCCGGGTTCAAACGACTCCTGCCTCAGCCTCCTGAGTAGCTGGGGTTATGGGTGCCCACCACTGCACCTGCCTGATTTTTTTTTTTGTAGTTTTAGTAGAGACAGGGTTTCATCATTGGCCAGGCTGGTCTTGAACTCCCGACCTAGTGATCCACCCTCCTTGGCCTCCCAAAGTGCTGGGATTACAGGCGTGAGCCACCGCGCCCGGCCATTTTTAAAGTAATACTTCAGTCACATCCTTACTTCCCAGAGTTTTCTAAACAAAGTTCAAACGACATAGCTTCGACACTGAATTGTAAAATACATTTTCATTTTTACATCATTATTGCCCCAAATGAAGCCTAATGCAATCCAATCTGGCTCTATTTTTTACATTTTTCAGCATTTCCCTACTTCAAAGTCTTTTGAATGTCAAAATTCTACACTTCTTCTGATATGCAGCTTAAAGACTAAATCCTTCATGATTCTTTATCTTATTATACTAGGGTAAACGTAATCTCTATCTCTTGCATTTCCATAGAATGTATCAAAGTATGGCTCAGATTATGGATACTATCTAGCTCCTTAAGGGAAGAGTGAGAACACTAACATTTATTGGAAGTGTACAAGCCCAGCTTATTTTTCATAAAAAGTAAATATTCTCTCCCCCCTCCCCAGTCCCAATCTGCAGGGCAGAAAAGAGCGCAGAAAAGAGCGGGGCTAGAATTTACACTTATCTTTTATTCCTCAGAGCTCACACTCCCTTCCTAGAGCTTGCCATCACACCACACGGGGTCATTGACTTAACACCTACTGCGTGCTAGACTACTCTGCTAAGTGCGGAGGACGCAGAAATTAATGTCAAAGATAATCCTTGCCTTCACAGTATTCTGTCTAGCTTAAGATGAGTTCTCAGTTGAATGAAATCTAGCTAATTCCAACTAACGTGCACTTATTTTGAATAAAAACCATCAACTTACTTGAATTCTTAAGTTTCCTCCTAAACTCCAACATTTCAGGAGGAAGGGGTCACATGCTAGTCACCTTTGCAATCTCAAACCCAAAAGATGCCTAACTTGGTAAAATGCATGGCACATTCAATGTCTGTTGAATACAAGTAAAGCTCATAGTACCTAGCCTATTTTTCATTATCCCTTGAGTTGAAAACTGGTTAATAAATCAGAGTCACAGTCCTAAGGGCAACAACTTTTTAAAGGCTCACCTAACAAACTGTAGGATCCCTGACTGAGAGTGGCTGACTATGGCAGTGTATAGGCATACTAATCACTGGAAGAAATACTCAACAGCGAGAAATAGCCAAGTAAAAGCCCTACTTTTCAAAAATATTAACAAAACAAAACAAAACAAAACAACTCAACAACTACGAAGACAAAACGCTAGATGTGAGCACCCTGTAAGTCGCTTTCCCGTGGGCCGGGTAAAGATTTTAAAACCCGCCGCCTCCAGGAGGGCGGACACGTGCACAAGGATTAGCTGAAAACTCGGTGCCCAGTCTGGCTGGCAGAATTGCTAAAATCGACCTACCGTTAACACTCTGGCTACTCTGAAATTAGCAGAGCTGTAGTCAAGTAAGTAACCCAAGAAAAGGCGCCCAGAGCCGCCGCCGCCGGTGTAGCCCGGGGGCATCCCCTTCTACCTTGCAAACGGGGCCTGGGATCCGGTCCCTCTCTTCTTCCTCCACCTCCTCTGCGGTGGTGTGCCGCTTAGTTGGCGGCGCGGCATCTTTTTCGTTTCTTTTTGGCTTCTTCGCCTGCACTGCCAAGCCTCCACGCCGTTTCCTCTTGGTTGCCGCCATCTTGCCTTACTGCCTGCGCTCTTGGCCTGTTTTCCGGCGTTGCCTCTCGCTCCTCTTTCCGATCTCTATGGTTCGGTGGCTCTAAGCGCTCAGCTACGCGGTTGTCCTCCAGGTCTGCGGTGTCTCCTTCCGGTCTCAGTGGCGCTGCACGCGCGGCTCTCTAGGCCTCCTTCAGCTCTGTGGTGACGGTGGCGGAAGTGGAGGGCAGGTCTGAAGAGTGGCGGGAGCGGCTCCACTTCCTACGCTGTCTAGCTCCTCCTCAGGGACTTTCCTGGGAAGGTCTCTCGGGCGTCCAGACCCCACCGCAAAGGTAGGGTGTCCGCACTCGGGGACCCCGAGACTAATAAGCGATGCTGTCCCGCGGGCGGGCTGGTGAATGGGCTTGTCTGGGACTCTTGGGGGATGATCTGGACACTCTGGGCGCTCCCCCCATCGCCTGTTCTGTTGGAAGCGAGGCTGGTGCCGCGGTCGGATTCAGAGCTCCTGTTTGTTTGGCCGGGAGAAGCTGGCCCCAAGCGGAGATACCGTGTCAGTTGCGTGTCTTCATTCTTCACAACTTTTCACGTTATTGTCCTCTTACAGAGACGAGGAAATCGTAACTTAATTTTCCCGCAAAATTACAAAGACATTTACATAGGTGGGGTTCGGCCTGGTCAGCTGAGTTCAGCCGCCCAGCCCCCGTCCACCTCTCAGCGCAGGTGGAGCTCGCCAGACCTCGCCTGCACTGATGTGAGTTTTATTGTCCAGTCCCTTCAGGTGTTTCGCGATTCGCCGAGCAGGTGTTGGCCCCAGGAGCATTTCCCTCCGGGCCGAATGCGCAGTGGACTATGCCCCTTCTGACCCAGCAGATCCAAGATGAGGATGATCAGTACAGCCTTGTGGCCAGCCTTGACAACGTTAGGAATCTCTCCACTATTTTGAAAGCTATTCATTTCCGAGAGCATGCCACGTGTTTCGCAACTAAAAATGGTATCAAAGTAACAGTGGAAAATGCAAAGTGTGTGCAAGCAAATGCTTTTATTCAGGTATGGAAGTAGGCGCCTTTAAGCCTGTGCCATAGATATTCTAAATGCAATTTAATGAAATCCGAAGGTTTTAGTAGACATAATAACTTAATACGCATAATAACTTAATAGTCAATAGTCATAATAAATAATAGATAAATAACTTAATAGTCTTAAGTTAGAGAACAAACGTCATTACTTGAATTTTTTTTTTCTCTCCCGGTAACAAATTCTTTTCCCATCTTGTTTTACAGAGATAATGGTTAGTAATGACTAAAGTTTATTAAACTAGACTATCGGCTACGCTACAGTCTTCTTAGTGTTTAACTTATTTAATTTTAACAATAGTCCTATAAGGCAGGTTCTGTTGTTATTCCCGTTTTATATATGTGGAAACGAGGCACAATTTTAAGTGATTTGCCAACAGTCCCACAGCTGGTAAGTGGCTGAATTGGGATAAGAACCCTGAACATTTGTTTCCAGAATATCTGCTCTTTTTACCACTGCGATACTACCACCTTGCTGTTACTAAAGAGCATTTTTTCCCTTTACTGGTTGTAATAGAATTTTTGTTCTTCCAAAGTAATATTTGTAGGGTTCAGATAGGATTGCAAATTCAACTAAGCATTTTTTTTAACACGTAAGTGCACAGCATGACCTCAGGGATAGAGAGGTAAATAAGACATGGTTCTTGTCTTTGTGCGGCGACATGGTATAGTGGCTCACACCTGTATTTCCAGCTGCTCAGGAGACTGAGGCTGAGGCACGAAGATCGCTTGAACTCAGGCATTAAAGACCAGCCTGAGTAACCATAGTGAGACCCCCGAATCAATAAAAAATAATAATAAAAGTTGTAACTAATATTGCTCATGCATTATCAAGTCATCCGTCTATTTTCCAAGTGACCTTAGCAGTAGTGATACACACAAAAACGAGATAAGGGAGAGTCCCAGAGGAATAGTTTTAGATCCAGGAATGGATATAAGGATGCTTCAAAGGATGTCTCTAAGATGTTTTGATTGCTAATCAGAAATTATTCTCATAGGATTAGCACAGTATTGTATTTTTTAAACATATAAAGTGAAATCTAGGACCTTGTATATTTTCATTCTTTTACATAACAATTTTCATTTTTACTTTTTCCGTAGGCTGGAATATTTCAGGAATTTAAAGTTCAGGAAGAGTCTGTTACTTTTCGAATTAATTTAACTGTCCTTTTAGACTGTTTGTCTATTTTTGGATCAAGTCCTATGCCAGGTAAACTATTATCAGTATAAAGACATAAAAGTATTATATACAGTGGTCAGAAAAATACAGGAAGTTATTTGGAATATAAACATTTGTTCAGAAAGCTAATGCCAATTCATTTTTCGGTGGCCACAGTCATGGGTTCTAACATTTCACAATGTTAATTGCAAGTATGTTTATAGGTCTTTCATATTTGTAAAAGTATTTACATTCCTCTTTTTTTAATTTACAAGGCTTTGAGGGATTTTAAATTTGAACTGGCCAAAAGAATACTTTGGACATGTCTTTAATATCTTTAATATTGTGAAATGTTTTAATTGCTTCTCTTCCCTAACTTGTCCAGAATTACTCAGCTAGTTAGTGGCAGAGAAAAACGAAAGCCAGTTCTCCTGACTCCTAGTTTACTGTGTTCAAAATTTGTTTCTTTTAAGCCATATTTTATAAGTTATGTCTATTTTGATAAATGATTTTTTGGTGTTTTTGAGACGGAGTTTCTCTCTTGTTGCCTAAGCTGGAGTACAATGGCAGAATCTCGGCTCACTGCAACCTCTGCCTCCCAGGTTCAAGCGCTTCTCCTGCCTCAGCCTCCCAAGTAGCTGGGATTACAGGCACGTGCCACCATGCCCGGCTACTTTTTTGTGTTTTTAGTAGAGATGAGATTTCACCGTGTTAGCCAGGCTGGTCTCAAACTCCAGACCTCAGGTGATCTGCCCGCCTCAGACTCCTGAAGTGCTGGGATTACAGGCATGAGCCACCGTGCCCGGCTGCCAAATGATTTTCTTTAAAATGTATATTTTTTTATTTGTTAAGGGAATTATTTTTAAGAATGGTGAAATTCAATTGCTGTAGGTATAAAACTGTAAGGAATCCCCAGAATTTTATTTCATAGGAAAGCAACCTGGAGATTAGCTAGAAAAAATTCAATATAGTTCTCCAGAAAAGTGTATTTTAACTTTCCACAGACAGTTCCACTGTTGAGTTATACATTTTCTAATGACAGTGTTCTCCAGCTGGTTTTTCGTAAAAGCATCTGTCATGTTCCATTCCTCACTGTGGCTCTCAGTCCAGCAAGGAGAAGGACTTTGAATATCCTGTCATAGTCCTCCTTGCCGCTAGTGGCTTGCAGTGTTAAAATTTACACCACCATTAACAACCCTCTTTTTCTCTCAGTTTGATTTTAAAATGTGAGGAAATATAAATATCTCCCAGTTGGAAAAGTTAGAAGGATCCTTGTCATAGTGAGTACACTGACGTTACAGTACAGATGATAGCAATCCACTGTTACACACATTGAACCTTCAAGGAATAGCATACCCTGTTCTGCAGCAATTTAGTTACTTGCTGTGTTGATCCATATAGATTCTCTATCCTGAAATTTTATGGATGTAAAATCAACAAGCTACTTCTGAGGTGTTTATGACAACCTGAAAATGATTCCAAAGAATTATGTTACATTTTATTCTGGTTCCTAGTTTTCTTGTATTTTTGGAATTGTCTACACACAACTGTCATCAGGGAAGATGTAATCCCTTTTTATGAGGAAATACATGTATGTGAGAAATTGGACGGAATAAATTATTCTTGAGAAATTTGATGTATCATTTCGAGGAGAAGCTGAACCCAGAGCTATAAAGCTAACGCCAAGTATGACTTCTTTCCATTGCAGGGACTTTAACTGCACTTCGGATGTGTTACCAAGGTTATGGTTACCCTCTGATGCTGTTTCTGGAAGAAGGAGGAGTGGTAACGGTCTGCAAAATCAATACGCAGGAACCTGAGGAGACCTTGGATTTTGATTTCTGCAGCACCAATGTTATTAATAAAATTATTCTGCAGTCAGAGGGGCTCCGTGAAGCATTTTCTGAATTGGATATGACGAGTGAAGTCCTACAAATTACCATGTCTCCTGACAAGCCTTATTTCAGGTACTTGAGAGCAGTGCAGTTATAGTTAATGTGGTCTGTACTCCCATCTTCCCACTTAGACATTTGCTTAGGGTGCAAAATTTTTATTATCCACATTTTTCGAGTTTTCACAACTTTAGACAGCTTGTACTGTTACCTCATAATTTTATGGTTCAAGAAACTTAAGACCCAGGAAGATTCACTCACTATGTCATATTTAGGTGGTGGTGGCATCTAGATGAGAAACCCAGTCCCCTAATTTATAAATGAGTGGTATTTTCATTGTACTACTACTTACTGTCATAGATCAGGTTACATCATGAGGAAAATTGGGTTTAAGTGTTTGAAAGGGTGTTTGTATTATGGTATCTTTTTCAAGTTCAGGTTGCAGAAGAAAGTGTTTTCTACACATGGTTCATTCAGTCACCAAGTATCTGTTGATCACCTACCATGTGCTTATTCATCTTATTAAGCATTATGGGAAGAACAGCTTAAAACCAAGGTGAAACCAACATACGTGAAACAGCAAACCATTAAGTACCAATATAGCACACAGAGATACCTGGGAAACGCTTATATAAGGATTTAGAGATGATTGCTCAAAGCTGGCTTCCCAAGATAGGGCAGTTTTCAGCAGGAATACCATATCAAAAAAGCTGCTCCTGATACTTGAACACAAGTGTCTGTTCAGGGTTAGACTCAGTTTAGAGATTCTAGCAATTTAGAGAGAGGATCTAAATATTCTCTTTTCAGAATATTTCAGGATCTAAATACTCTCTTTTTGAAATATTTCAGAATGTTAAATAAAGGCACTAAAGACATATGGAATAAAAGGAATAAGGTATTCTTTTTGTAACTACTTTAGAAGAATTACAGGCCTGGCTGTAAAAGTGCAGTGGCTCACACCTGTAATCCCAGCACTTTGGGAGGCTGAAGTGGGCGGATCATTTGAGGTCAGGAGTTCAAGACCAGCCTGGCCAACATGGTGAAACCCTGTCTCTACTAAAAGTAGAAAAATTAGTTGGGCGTGGTGGCGCGTGCCTATAATCCCAGCTACTCGGGAGGCTGAGGTGGGAGAGTCACTTGAACCCAGGAGGCAGATGTTGCAGTGAGCTGAGATTTCACCACTGCACTCCAGCCTGGGTGACAGAGTGAGACTCTGTCTCAAAAAAAGAAAAAGAATCACAGGCCCTTCTCATGACTTTGGGGAGTTAAGAATTTGGCTCAGGGTCTGATAAAAGTGTTAACCAAAATGGAAATTGGAAACCCTACTTTAGCAGTGGAATGAAGTGAAAAATTTCAGGTACTTAAACAATATTTCAGAGGATCTCCTCAGTGATCTCTCTCAGCCTGGGTAACTAGATGGACCATGATATCTTTCATCTCCAGGATGGGAAACAATTTGGTGGTAGGGAGGTAGGAGTTGAAATTTTTTCCTGGATATGTTCAATTTGATGGTAGGGGAGGTAGGAGTTGAAATTTTTTCCTGGATATGTTAAATTTTAAGTACCTGTGACACTAGGGAGTAGCTGGATGCATAGTTATGGTGCTCAGGAGATCCATTTAGACTGGAAATTTAGATTTGGGAACCATCATCATGGCTGGGCATGGATGAGACGGGTCAGAGAGAGAGATTATATTAGAAGAAAGAAAAGATGGACCCCAGGAAAACCAACACCTGGAAGATGGGGGCCAGAAATGGAGCTTAGAGAAAACCAACCTGGATCTTATCACCATGCTCATATAATAGTTAGCAATGTGCTAACCCTGCAGCAAATGCTTCAGAAGTTCTTGCAGATTAAATCAGCATATTAACACTTACAAATTGTCTACAAATAACTTTTGGTGTTACCAAGTGAGGAAAACCATGAAATAGCCTTGAGAGCAGTCTAAGATACAGAAAAGCTGTAATTCCTCGGTGTAGGATTAGGAACAGACCTAAGGGTTGCAGTTGACTTAGATCAGGGTCTTCCATCAGTCCTCAATTCTCTCTCCTGTTATATATTTCTGACTTAAGGATGAGGAAAAGTCATTTTCAGAGTAGGATTAGGGTAATGAAATTAAAGTGTCCGCTACCCTTTTCCTTTTACAATTGATTTTCTTCAAAGCCGTTGATTAGTTGCCCTGAACTCCCGGAACTCTAGTGGGAGCTTTATTATGGTACTTGTTATCGTGTGTTGTAAGCATTTGTGTACATGTCTGTTTCCTCCACTAGTATGAATTTCTTAAGGAAGTGTTTTCTTTATTTGGATCCTAATGTGGTTTATTTTTGGACCAATGAATAAATGAGGTAATCGTTTTCTATAGGTTATCTACTTTTGGAAATGCAGGAAGTTCCCACCTTGACTATCCCAAAGATTCTGATTTGATGGAAGCATTTCATTGTAATCAGACCCAAGTCAACAGGTCAGTTCTTAATATAGAGGTTCCCATTGGTGATAAAGAGGAGGTTAAATACCAGATTTCTGTTAAATAAAAACACTTTCAATCTGTTAATTAAAATGCACAGCATTTTATAAAAATAAACAGTAGAGTGCTGGACTTACTAGGGGATGTAGGGTTCTAACAGTGGATGAATTTTAAAAACATCAAGAGAAAATATTGCAAATTGGATAAGTACCTGATTTTATTCTTAGTTTTGCTACTTTTTGTCCTTGGGAGTTCTGAGCAGTGTTCACTGTGTTGATATAACAGCTTTTTATTTTGTTTTCTACAGATACAAGATTTCTTTACTGAAACCCTCTACAAAGGCATTAGTCCTATCTTGTAAGGTATCTATTCGGACAGATAACAGAGGCTTCCTTTCATTACAGTATATGATTAGAAATGAAGATGGACAAATATGTTTTGTGGAATATTACTGCTGCCCTGATGAAGAAGTTCCTGAATCTTGAGTCTTGAGTATGACAATTCACTGATATTTATGTGTACATTTATGACAGATGAAGTTCTTATTCTGAGTACTCTTTATAATTTCATATTGGATTTTCTATAGAGAAGAAGCACTATGGGGAAGATAGGAGCAAGGTCGTGTACCTAATAGTTACTGTGTTTTCTAAATACATTTTGTAGAGGGCATGTAAATAAATGTTTTCATGTAGTCATAGATTATTAAGGGCTGTCCTTTAGTTCTGTCTTTTGAACTCACAGTTATGTGAGCCAATGTAACATTTCAAGAGTCTAAAGGCTTAAAGTTTGATGCAGCTACCTGAAATGTTCTTTTATTTATTTACTGTTAGAAAAAGCAAAGGCATATGAGCATTGCTTATTAGTTTGAATTCTAGAGACTAGATCATAAAGTGGTGGTTCTCAAAGTGTTGTGCCCACACCAACATCAGAACGGCCTGCAAACTTATAGCAAACTCTGGGGAGGAGGCCAGCATTCTGTATTTCAACAAGCTTCCCTCAGGAGATTCTGATGCATGCTAAATTTTGGGAACCACTGGTTTAAAGGAAACTTTTTTCTTTAATAGGAAACTTTTTTTCTTTAATAGGATTTAATTGTATTGAGATAATTGCTTTTACATGTAATTTCCTTGCAAATGTTCTGAAGTTAAGGCATCACTAAACAAGTCTGAACAATTCTTTATGTGATTTATTTTTAAAGTAGACCTTTTAAAGAGATCTGTGAACGGGATATAAAGCAATTTTCAGTGTTACAGGTTTTCTTCTTGTTCTCAAAACTGTTCACTGTAGTAAGTAACGGCAGTCAGTGCTTATTACTTTCCATTTGCCTATGAGTTTCTTGACAAATCAAGATGTAGAAAACCAGTTATTAAGTGATTTTGTACTTTCCTGGTAGTTGTCACTAAAATAATTTTTGTGGCATATAAATATATTTAATAAAATACAATACTAAAATTATCTGACTTACTCTCTAGTAGAAAAAATTACATGAGTATAGTGAAGCTTCTGTCTTTGTTACCGTACCAGGTGACAACAGCTCAGTGTCCGTTCGTGGACGGCACTATTGGCCTTTTGAGTGAGATGGTTCTTTAGGATAAAAAACTGTCATCCCATTGCAGGATTCATTTAGCCTTTCTGGCCCTTACCCACTGATGCTAGTCATTGTGACCACCACCTCCCCCAAATAAAAGTGTACCAAAGTATTAATTGTTGAGAACCATTCAGTGATATTCACCAAAATTGGAAGATATATTGGAATGCCCTACCTCAATATAGGTCACATAGTGTTAGAGAAAATTGGTTTGGAGAGTATTACAGCAAAGTGTGCTGCAAGGAGGCCACTCCAGCACAGTGGCAGGCACTGCTTCCCAGGCATATGGACAATTTTGGGAGGTGGCCAGGGTCAGTACCTGATAACTAATAAGTCTCTCAATCTCAGCATGCCTAGTGGCTACAAAAGAAGTTGGAATTTTTTAAAGTGTATGTGTTCAAGAAGGAAAGATACTAATTTACTAAATGTTGTCAGAATATTATTTGTTTAAACACCAAAAACAGAACAAACCTAAAAGATACTTACAGAATATCTAATCAGTCAACATTCTAAAGACTGTTAAATGTGAAATAGCATAGTTATGTTTTGTCTTTTGTTACTAGTGTGAACAAAGAACAGTGCCTAATATATAATAGGCATTTAGGAACTTTGTTATATGAAAGAATCTCCAATTTCAGATTTTCTGTTAGCATCTTATTAGTCACTGTTTAATTCTGATGATTTAGCTCTAAATTTATTTTGATCTAAGGTTTTTTATTTTTATTTTTGGAGACAAGATCTTGCTCTGTTGCCCAGACTGGAGTACAGTTGTAGGATCACAGTTCACTACCTAGGCTCAAGCAATCCTCCCATCTCAGCCTCCCAAATAGTTAGGACTATAGGTGCATGCCACCATGCCCTGCTAATTTTTGTATTTTTGTAGAGCCGGGGTTTCACTATGTTGCCTAGGGTAATCTTGAACTCCTGAGCTCAAGCAATCCACCCGCCTTGGCCTCCCAAAAGGCTGGGATTGCAGGTGTGAGCCACCACGCCTGGCCTAATGTATTTTTTAAAAGTTGAATCTAAAAAGAATTTGAAACAAATATAAATCAGCTCAGTAAGGATGGATATTTTTGCACATTTAAAACTATTATTTTAGGCCGGGCGTGGTGGCTCACACCTGTAATCCCAGCACTTTGGGAAGCCGTGGCGGGTGGGTCATCTGAGGTCAGGAGCTCGAGATCAGCCTAGCCAACATGGTGAAACCCCCGTCTCTACTAAAAATACAAAAATTAGCCGGGTGTGGTGGTGGGTGTCTGTAATTCCAGCTACTCAAGAGGCTGAGGCAAGAGAATCACTTGAACCTGGGAGGCGGGGGTTGCAGTGAGCCGAGATTGCGCCCTTGCACTCCAGCCTGGGTGACAGAGCAGGACTCCGTCTCAAAAACAATGAAAAATTAAAATAAAAATTATTGTTTTAGCTGCATGTCTTCAGCTATTTAGAATTCAGAGACTAAGAATTGTTTCTAAGTCACCCTAACATCAAGGTACTTATTTTATAAAGAATTTCCTCCTTATGTGTGTTCTATTTGATCCAGGCATTTTTACTTTAATAAAAGTTTAACTTTATGTCCTATGCAAAACCACTAGGGGGAGTGCTCCCTCAGGCAGAGCAGGCGACACTTTGGTGCCACTACAAATTGATGTGTAGCATATAGAAGAACACAGTCTTATATGTGACTTTTAGTTCTGTCTTTTTGAAGTTTATCTCTCTTTCTAGTAAAATTGTGCTTACTGTGAATGGATAAGTAATCTTTTTTTTCATTTTTCATTTGTTGATTTCCCATTCAATGATGTAGTGCTTCCACCTAGAATTGGTGAAATGCTTCAAAATAATACAAATAAAAATATTTGTTAAATTTCACTTTTCTAATAAAAATAAGGCTTGTAACACAATCATTTTAACAGGAAGCCACAGGGTTTCTGTGGTATTATCAAAGTCCCAGTAAAAATTAATTAAAATTGTAAAAGGGCAGAATGTGGCACTCAACAGTGGGGTAGGGAATCATTCAGAACATAGAGACTTCCTTCTCTCCTTCCCTGTCTTCACACTGCTTGTCCCTTATCCTCACCTGAAATAAAATCTATTGGGTCCTGAGAAATTGGAGTGTGGAGTATTTTTTCTTTTCCCAATTATGTTTGTAATTTGCTTTCATTCTCTCTTTGGAATAGGCAGCGCTGTTTTATACTAGTATCAGGTTACAAGCACCCCAGGAGGAGTCATTAGCTCTAACAGGATTTCTCTCTCAGGAGTGGACAGCTAGTATTCTAATCAGAAAGACCAAAGGCAGTGGTTTCAAGTGCTTTCTCTATCTGTATCTCAGTCACATCCAGAGGTTTTGATAATCAGCAGAGTAAATGTGTGAAGTATAGTTTTGAAATTCATAGCTTGTTGATCATTATAATAGATACTAGTAGTGGCTCTCAGTGGCAAAACCAGAGGTATTCAGGATATGTGAACTTACTAAATTATTTCAGAGTAATCCTCATATTTAAGTGAAAAGGAAGTAACAATCTAGTGAAGCCTATGGCCTTTACCCTTAGGCATGGTGCCTGACACTTGATCCCAAAATGGTCTTGCTTCCTGCCATTTTGTCCAAGGATTTCTGGTTGCCTTGGCTAACTAGGTTAGGAGAGTACTATTTCTGGAATATTGTCAAGCCTGCCTTAAGTGGACCTTTAATACAGGTTACATAAACTTTTTTCTTTCTTTTTTTTTTTTTTTTTTTTTGAGATGAAGTCCCACTCTGTTGCCAGGCTGGAGTGCAGTGGTACGATCTCAGCTCACTGCAACCTCCGCCTCCCAAATTCAAGCAATTCTCCTGCCTCAGCCTCCCGAGTAGCTGGGACTACAGGTGCCTGCCACCACATCCAGCTAATTTTTGTATTTTTAGTAGTGTCGGGGTTTCACCATGTTGGCCAGGATGGTCTTGATCTTTTGACTTCGTGATCCTCCCACTACAGCCTCCCAAAGTGCCTGGGATTACAGGTGTGAGCCGCCACGCCTAGCCGGTTACATAAACTTTTTTGTTTGCTTGCTAAAAAATGGTCATTGAGCTAGGTGTGATGGCTTTCACCTGTAGTCCTAGCACGTTGGGTTTTAGCCCAGGAGTTTTGAGACCAGTCTGGCCAATATAGCAAGACCTCATCTCTAAATTTTTTTTTTTTTTTTTAGCCAGGTTTGGAGTATGCATGTAGTCCCAGCTACTCCAGAAGCTAAAGCGGGAGGATTGCTTGAGCCCAGGAGTTCAAGGCTGCAGTGAGTTATGATCATGCCACTACACTATAGCCTGGCAGGAGAGTGGGACCGTGTCTCAACAAAAAATAAAATAAAAATATTTATTGAAATCTGTATGTGAGACAGCTTGATCTGGGCTTGAATTATTTTTTTCTAACTTGGTACAGAGATTGTTGGAAAATAATCCTCATCCACCTAAAAAATGTCAGTGCTTGTTAGCTAATTCAGAAGGATTGTAAGAGCTCTGTATGTTAGTTCAGATCTGTTAGAAATGTCAGGTGTTTGACTGGATTGGGTTATCCAGATTGGTTGGATTTAGAAAGTAGCTTCTGTGGTTTTGCAGTGAGAATGCAACTTTATATTTCTAATGTGGCTTGTTAAGACTTCGGGATTTCACCAAAATAGTAAAATTTTAAAACTTTTGGGCAGGGCACAGAGGATTTTTAGGGCAGTGAAACTAATATGTATGATACTATAATGGTGGATACATGTCATTATAATTTTTCCAAACTCACAGAATGTATACCATCAAGAGTGAACCCTCATGTAAACTGTGGACTTGGGTAATAATGGTGTGTCAGTGTGGGTTCATCAGCTGTCACAAATGTACCACTCCGGTGGGAGATGTTGATAAGGGAGAAGCCAGGTATGTGTGGGGGTAGGGGGTAAATGGGAAATCTCTGTAGCTTTCCCTTAATTTTGTATGAACCTAAAACAGCTTTAAAAATGCCTTTGGGAAAAACTTTGGGGACCAACATAGGTGCCAACTTATTTTACCAGGTATAAGGATAAAATTATACCATTCAGTATCACCACCATTTTATAAAACATTTTAACATCAAAACCCCAGACAATAGCAACTTTACAGTGACAATAA